TAAGAAAGCAGCAGTGATTGCATATTAATTTTGTTCCTCTCCCATTTTATACTGATGAACAGTTCACTGACGAGACTTCCCTTTGTTAGATTTTCCTTTGTATTTCTAGTATTAGTAGAAATCCATTCATTTGTTTTACTTAATTTTTTTTTTTCTTCATATCCTTCCTATGTAGATCATCCACCCCATGATCAACCTTAGAACAATACCCTTCTGGAGTAGCCTGTTATTTTGTTGTACTTAAACTGATGCTTTTAGCTGGAATTTAGTTTAAAAAGGATTTGCCATCTCTGATGCTCAAAGAAACATCTCATCCACTTATGCATAAGGAAATATTCCCTGCTCTGGTCTTTCTATCCTCCTGTCAAGCTCTGAAGTAGGCTTTTTAAAAGAAATGGAAAAAAATAAAATAAAAACTAAAAACAAAAAAACAAACAAAACAAAACAAAAAAAAAAAAAAACCAACCAAACACAACAAACCAACAATGGTATGTACACTGCCTTGCAGTAGGTCCTCTCATAACTGTTTTGTTTTACACTAGCAAGGTGGTTTGGGGGTCTTCATACTAAAAATGAAGGCTGAATTCCACATTTGCAGTATAGTATATGCACATAACTCTGTGCAGTGACATCATCTTATCATCCTGGCAGCTCTCCCCAAGTCTAACACTTGCACTTTGCAGGAATCAAAGGGGACATGGGGCTGCCTGGTTCTCCTGGGCCACCAGGTATGAAGGGTCATCGGGGCGATCAAGGACCTGTCGGACCCCCTGGCCGTGTGGGGCCACCTGGATTTCAGGGCATAACGGGCATGGCAGTTCCTGGCCAAAAAGGGAACAGAGGTGTTGCTGGTGCAGATGGAAGACCAGGTGTGTTCTTTTAACTCCTTATTTATCCAAAATGATACACTGGTAATTAAAAGCATAATTCAGCCTGTCCAGAACCTGGGCTGAAAGTGGCCTTCCCCCAGGAAAGCTTCATAATTAGAGGTAGTTCCTTACCAGTTAATGCACGTTACCACTGCCAACACCACGATGGCCTGTGCAGTGTGATGTAAATTAAAACAACACTGATCTTTGCAGTCCACTCAACTGCATTGTTTTGCTTTCTTACCACATGGTCTACAGACCCTACAGGGCAGCTGAGATCCAACTTTAGAAACATGAGGTAGTGTGAGCCTGTAGATGTGATACTGAGAGACATGGTTTAGTTGTGGATTTGGCAGTGCTGGGGTAATGATTGGCTTTGATCTTAAAGGTCATTTCCAGCCTAAATGATTCTATGACTGCAGGCATAACTACAGCTGGGGTATATTAAAAAAAATAGTACTATAGAGTACTGCCAGAACTCTGTACATGATCTCAGATTAAATTAGCAGGTCAGGAAAAATGAACTGATTAAAAAAAAAAAAAACCAGGTGTATTTCCATAGAAATCACTGAGGTGGTCAACATGAGAATCACTACAGAGGCATTGAATGTTGTCTGCATAGTGTGTAACACATGTGAAATGCTTTGGTGGTAGTCTTTACTCACTCTGGTGTTTCTGTACAGGTGCTCCTGGTTTTCCAGGACCTCCTGGTCTTTCCACACCCAGCATGAAAGGAAGCAAAGGTGACAGAGGGGCAGATGGCATACCAGGGCCAACAGGCCCAGCCGGCAACACTGGTCCTCCCGGTCCCAAAGTCAGTGAAAGGAATATTGCTTCTTTCTTACTCCACCATTAATTTGCTCTAAGCATGAAAATAACACCCATAGACTTTTAGAAAAAAAAACAAAACCAAAAACAAACAACCCACAACAAAACCAAAAAAACCCCTACAGCCTCCCCAAACCCCTTTGTAATGGAGTAAAGGCATTACAATGGATACCAAAGGGAGTTTTTATGGGCTTAAGTGGATCAAAAAAATCATTCTGAATTTCTGATATGTCAGTACCTTGTCTGTTCTGTATTACAGAGCAATGCTAACAGCAATATGACTATTTCTAACGTTCACGAATGGAGCAGATACTTCTAGTTGTAGCATATTCTGTGAACATAATGCTTTGAATATTCTGAACAAAACAAAAATGTACTTCATAGTGTGCAGATGCTGCTTCCTGTTTACGGTTGGTGTCATCTGATTTGCAGGGAATAGAAGGTCGATCAGGTTATCCTGGGCAGAGAGGGGACCCTGGATTTCTTGGATTCCCAGGTGTAAAAGGTATTAATATATTTATTACATAAAATTTTGTGTGCCGAATATCATGTTGCATTATAATAGAATTTGGGTAACAGTAGCAGGTGTGGTTTCAGAGATGTAAGGTTTTTCCCTTCAAGAGCAGGGTCTGTCAGCTATAAATGAAAGAATTGCTCTCTTGGAGAGCATTTTCTTGGGTTAGATGCTTTGGGTTTGTTCTAAGTGATGTTAAAGTGAGGAAGGGCTGAAATGCCCATGGCTGCCATTCCAGGCAAATTCAAATCAAGTGTGTCCTCAGTGACTAATAATGTGTAAAGACTTTGGGAATGAGTCTGGTCATTAGGAATGCCCCACCACTGCTGAAAGATGTGACTTTCTGGTAGCCTCTTTGCTATGGAACTCAAGGGCATTTAATTATAATTACAACACGGAGCACTGAGGGCTTTCTTTGTCATGAGACTAGTCCAAATTACAGTCTAATTTACCACTTTGTCAGCAGATGAACTGGTAAATGTATTGGCTTCATTAATTTCATATTCTGAGGGTTAACTGAATCAGTAGCTGGCTAAAAATCTTCTTAAACATTTCTCCAGTGGTTTAAACCTTACAGAGGTCTGCATTACTCCAGTATTCTCTTTTTTTCAATTGTGTGATTTACGATGACACAAAATTGTTATTACCTGTTGAACCTACTGGTTTGTGTTCCATGCTCATTATTTTGTGTTTGAAATTTGTCCTAATTTGAAAAGTTACCATACAGACAGTTAGTATACTTAAGCAAAAAGCTCTCATTTCATGGCCTAGTCAGTCAAATAACTGACATAATGATAAAATTACAATTACTACTTTTTTTTTTTTTTTTTTTACTTTCCAGCAGAGCTGTGGAGAGTAATCTGAGATTAACCTCATATTTTGCAAAGTAAAAAGAATTGGTTCTTAAATTTAAAACACTCCAACAGACATCAGCATAACAGCTGGGTAAGGTTTAAAGGGAGTTAAGTGCACAGCATCACTGAAGGCAGCAGATGAACTGCAAACTCAGTGACAAAAACACACAAAAAGGACATAGTCTAAAGCTGGGATTTGAAGCTAGGTTTATGGGACAAGCCATCACATGAAGATAGGCATGGGAACATCTTATCAACTGAGTGCTCTTGCCCTGTAAGTTATATAGTAGCTGCAGAGTTGTAGAAGGCCACTTCCACATTTCAGGTGCATCTACAGGCTATGCTACTCTTTGGAAGGTTACATGCATCATGGATGACTCTTAGACAAGACAAATGAAACTTTGACAGTTGTTTTGATATTTTAAACCACATAGATGGATCTTCAATCTTCTTTTTTAGGAGAAAAGGGTAATCAAGGACCCCCTGGACCACAAGGTGCAGAAGGGCCACGGGGACCAAAGGGCCAACATGGTAATCAACACTTCTCATTTTAACACCAGATGACTTGGTTTGGTTTGTAGTTTGTTTGCTTTCTTTTAATATAAAGCAGTAGCTCTTCATTGTGTTTTTTCTTCTGCTAGGTCCACCTGGAGTCCCTGGGAGAGTATTCTCTCTCCCAGGAAGCAAGGGTCCTCCTGGACTGCCAGGAATCCCAGGAACACCAGGTGATCAAGGAATTCAAGGGATTCCTGGACTACAAGGTGGTTTATGCTTTTATCTCTGTACACATTTGTGTGTGTTGCTTAGTGGGAAAACACGTTTCTGCGTAGAAATTCATGTTTTTAAAAATACCTCTCCACGTTCAAAAACAACTTTGTACCTTGTTAACAACCTTATATTTATAACCTCTCCCATGCCACCCTTGCAGCCAGTGAGTAAATAAGTTTCTCCCTCAATAAAAGTCTAAGCAAAATAATGGAATAAAAAATAAACCTGAATCAAAACATTCACCATTTTCATACAACCAGAACCATGCTCAGGATGTTTGTCATTTTGGGGAGGGGAATTACCACATGTAATAGAGGTACTGCCAGATGTCCTAGGAAGTATGGTGAAAGTAATGCTACAGACGGTCTTAAAACTTAGTGAATTTCTGCTGACATTTTTATTCTAGCACCCCTACATTCACTTGGGGATTTTAACTTTATTCATTAACAGTTATTAAAATCTAGAATAACCACTGCTACATGATTCTGTTGTCTTCTTGATTACAATTTAGGACCTAAGGGAGTAAAAGGTCTACCAGGAAGTTTTGGTCATCCAGGTCAGCCAGGACCGCCCGGTCCAAAGGGAGACAGGGGATTTCCAGGACAAAGAGGTACAGGAGAGGAGACATCTCGCTTTGACTACTCCAACTGGATTTGCAGATAACCTGTATTCCTGATTTCTGTAAATCCTTCTGCCTGCATCTGAGATTCTGTAACGTTTACAGTAGCTTTAGGGCCACAAGCACATGTAAGTGCTCGCTTAGCTTTAAACAGATGCATGTTCACAACCGAAATAGTAACCTAAAAAAAAAATGCCTTGACCGTGCTCCTCAAGGTATCAGTGTGTCTTTTTATGACATCAAAATAGAACTAAAAATTTTTCTTTAGTCAGCATAACATGTTTTTACTTTGCAGCTTTTTTGCTAAAAATGGCCATGGTTCTTTAAAATACCTCACTGCTGCATGAAGCTATGCAACATAAAGCTACCTGAGCTAGGGCTGAAGGATTTAATACATCTAGCAACAAACACTACCAATTTTCAAGTTGTATTTTCTTACTGAAAATTTGTTTGTTTGTTTGAATGAAGTAAAAATTCAAACAAAATGATAATAATAGCCGCCATATTTCCTTCTCTCCTCAGGACACCCTGGACTAATTGGGTTCCCAGGTCTGCAGGGGCTGCCTGGGTCACCGGGTGCTATCGCTGCTGGTCCAACGAGAAGAGGTTTTATCTTCACCCGGCACAGCCAGACAACAAATATTCCTTCATGCCCACATGGGACTTCACAGATCTATGTTGGCTACTCACTGCTTTTTGTACAAGGCAATGAACGAGCGCATGGACAAGATCTTGGTACTGTATTGCTAAACCTTTTCACACTTTCACACTGTTTTCTTTAGAGTCTAGTAATGCAATGTTGTGATGAAACCAGACTCGCAGGGTCTGAGATAAACATTGGTTTAGAGCATCAGTCTCCAGAGTGCTCTGCTGCTCGGAGCCAGTCAGGAGTCGTGGTATGAAAGACCTTCTTCCCACAATCCTATATTCCCTTTGTGTTTTCCCCAGACACTTTTGAGGAGGAATTCAGTTACGGATAGATGTCTAGTAGAAATGTTCACAACACCTGCACAGGGCTGAAAACAATACCACAGGATCCAAGAGAGAATCTTGCTTTTTTGGAGACCAAATGGGATGCTTTAGCATGTCAGAAGTGGCGCCAGAAGCTTTTGTTTATGCAGCTGGATCCCCACCATTTTGTCAAGGATCATTACAATTCAAGACGATGATTTCAACAGATTTTCTTCTTAGCCCTTGCTCTTATATACCTATTTTTGTCAGCATTTTGCTTTCAGATAATTCCACTGTACAGACACTTCTTACTGTATAGGTACTGACTGGTTTAATTATCATGATAGTAGATTGGTTGCCATTATGCATCTATTCTGTTCACTGCTCTAAATAACATCTCGTGTCTGTCACATACCTGTCCTCTTTTGTCTTTTAGGAACAGCTGGTAGCTGCTTGCAGAGATTCACCACCATGCCATTCTTGTTCTGTAGCACCAACGACGTTTGTAGCTTTGCTTCTCGCAATGACTATTCCTACTGGCTGTCAGCTGCAGCAGTCATCCCAGCAGACATGGCGCCCATCTCTGGCAGGGCACTGCAGCCCCATATCAGCAGGTAAGGGTACAAGAATTTTAGTTTTTCCAGCCTGGAACCACAAATGAACTACAAATAAATCATACATTGTTTTGAACAGCAGATCTTAGCGGTAGATCTGCCCACCTCAGCCAGTACAAACACTGTTTTTAAATGCATCATTTTTTGATTACTCCCCTGAATGTCAGACATGCAGTGATGCTCTAAGAAAAGTTAGATAAAAGGTGAGGTCCCACCACAGGGCTTCATCTGCACAGCTGACATGACAAGATGACACATGGTCGTACCCATCGGAGTTAGATAAAATATCAGAGTTTTTTTTTTTTTTTTTAAAGCTGTTGTTATGTGTCTCAGTAGCAGACTAAGGTGAAATAAAGACAGCTTCGTTATTTGGAATACCATACAAGTTCTGCTTGAAGTTACGTGTGATACATTTGCTGTAGTTGGTGAAGAACTTGGTAAATTGGGGCTGGAAAGACCCAGAGTAGCACAACCAAAGACAGGCAGGCAAGCTTTGCACGCTGTCTTCTAGCCTGCCCTACCCACCAAATGAAGGTACAGAATTTGATCTAAACCATAACAGCATCAAGTAGCGAGCCCATGAAGAATGTAAAACTTAGCTTGTTAGTTCAGTAAAGACCAAAATAGGGAGTTCAAATGTTCTGAGACTAATTCCCATCTTACACCAATTTTTGTCTGATGTTATTAGTAGAGATGGCAAAGTAAGGTATCTGGTGTACTTATGTCCTCATTAAATGGAGAAAACCCGTGTGAATTGTAACATTTATCATACGCCTTGCCATTAGGTAGCCACTGTCCCTAGAAGATGGAGTTTTTGTCTGCTTTCCCCCTTTCCCTCCGATCATGTTGTCCTACAGGTGTGTTGTCTGTGAAGGAGCTGCCATGGTAATAGCAGTTCACAGCCAGACCACCATGGTTCCTGCCTGTCCCGATGGATGGATATCCCTCTGGAAGGGATTTTCTTTTGTGATGGTAAGGATATAAAGACCTAAATGATTAATTTTATGTCCTCGCCCCCTCATTGACGTTTTCATCTGCTCATAGCTTATTTTTTATTTAGTAACTGTTCAATTATTTTTCTATTCCTTTGCCAAGAAGTAGGCAATAATTCTACTAATTCTTACTGCCAGAAGCATAGGAATAACTGTTCTGATCTGTCCTCAAAAATAGGTGGCAGGAGGTCAGGGGAAAAGATACAAGGAGAACCACAGCATTTTAGTCAGACAGACAACTGCATGCTCTCGTTTTCATGTGTCACGCTAAGATCTAGGAACCAGGTTTGGGCAGTGGAGTAGCAAAACCAGTCCTGAGCAGAGATACACAGAAATAACTGACCCTCTCCCATGCCAGGCACTTACTTTATAAATCAGATCTTGGGGCTGAACACCACAGAAAGCTAAAATCCAAACAAATTCAGAGCACTGTCTGCAAAAGACAACCCCAGGAATTGTGACGCCCTAACAAGAGCTGAGTGAAGCAAGTTGATAATGTGACTGCAAAGGGAGAACTGCTAATGAGATTAAGGGTGTATCTGTATCATGGGACACAGCACTTCATCTTTGTCCTCCCTGCCTGCAGGATGTCATTGGGATGCCAGCAAATGAGGGGAAGAGACAGAATTAAGAACCTCAATTATTTGCATGATGTAAAGTCCTTTTACGGACTTAAAAGTGATAATTTTAATAATAATATTGGAAAAGAATGAATGAATTTTTGCAACATCTGGTTAAAATCACTTGTTTCCATCATCAGCAAATTGAAATGTTCTTTTCTAGCCTGTTTTCTACTGTCATAAGTGATTTTAGAGCTATTTCTAGAAGCATTTACCAATGTCAGAGAAGGAAAATGCCTTCTTTGCTTTTGTGCTTGGAGAAGCAATTAGTGCAACAAAAAATACAAACACACACACAAAATAGGGGATGTGGCTTATTGGCAATTCAGTTACTGTAGTCCTCAACTGGATGGAATCCATCTGCTTTCTAGTCTTTGTACTGGTTAGGTTCATCCCTTTTCATGGAGCAGAAAAAGGCATTTGCAGGGACTTAAGGACTACCATAAAGGGAGGGTTAACTTTTCATATGGCTTCTGTGCTTCATTTAGTTTGATAAAAGGAATCTGTGTTCATTTTGGTTTGTCCAGGATAACCACAGAACATATGGTGTGTTTTAGAAAGAGACTTTTTTTCTTTGCCTGCACTTTACTAAAAGCTGAAGGACAAGTTCTCATAAAACATATGTTGGTGGTTACAGTACACAAGTGCCGGCTCGGAAGCTTCTGGCCAAGCACTGGCATCTCCTGGATCTTGTTTGGAAGAATTTCGAGCCATCCCTTTCATAGAGTGCCATGGCAGGGGAACATGCAACTACTACTCAAATTCCTACAGTTTCTGGTTGGCATCGCTAAATCCAAAGAGAATGTTCAGGTAAGCTGCACTTCCCTGCATCCGTACCCTTGGCACGCTGCAAGTGCCTGAGGAGGCAGTAACTGCCTGCATCACATGGCAGGGGCTCCCTCAGTGCTTCCACTCAGCTTGGACATCCCCCCTTCGTGAGGTTCAGGGTCATTCTCTAGCACAAAGTTGCCTTAGGTGAGCCAAGGATTTCACTGTTGTTGTTAGTAACTCCATAGCCAAAGTTTCATCATCTTTCTCTCTTCTTTTTTATAAGAATAAGAGTAAATGTTTTTTTCTTTTAGGAGACCTATGCCACAGACTTTGAAAGCAGGAGAACTAGAAAACATCATCAGCCGTTGTCAGGTCTGCATGAAGAGACCCCTCTAAACAGCGGCCGCTCCGGATGGAACGTGAAACTCTGCTTTTGTTACAAAGAATTGCCTCACTCTGAAGAGCTGTAATTTATTGAAGTCCAACTGCATCTGGAAAGAAAATGATAAATTGCCAGTGCAGGTCTGTGGTGAGGTTGGGCAACAGTTTGACTTGTGTCTTGGCAAACGACGGAGCACTTTGCTGGAGAGAGCTGGCGATGGCAGCCTGCAGGGCTTCCGACCGAGCAGGTTGTGTCTGGGCTGCGTCTCCCAGGCCCTGAGTGAGCTGTCTGTGCTGCCTCATGTCACGTGCTTTTCAAACTGCAGGACAAACTAAATGCTCTAACATCAGCTTACCTATGTTCAGTGTTCAAAGTGGATATAATTTACGATGAAAACCTGGCACTTAGGAGAGATAGGGTTCAAGTAAGAAATATTTTCAGTGCACTTTTAAATATATAATTATTCATTTAGGGTTGTTTTGTTTTGGTTTTCTTGTCTAATAAACAAGTATCTCCCCATGTACCTCACCCTTCCTCTGGCTGGAAAACAGGAGTACAACCATGTTTGTGTTGGTGAAGCAGTTGTGGCTTGGCCCTTCATGGCCAGCACGAGGGTGGGGGGCCGGGAGCCATGTTCTCCAGAGCCACACTGGCCACGGGCTGGCTTGCAGAAAGCACTGGACAGTCTGCCTCGGATCCTGTGGCTTTTGAATAGGTCATCAGAGCCCTTACAGTCTCCAAAAAGTGGCAGTGTTGTGCCTCTATTCACCATATCCAAGAGGGATTTTGGTGGAATTTACAATTCCTGTATGTCTCGTGGGCTCCCACAGCATGATCAGGTTCTTACATGGCCATCAGGATGTGATCTCTTTCAACTTTATTTTTAATAGATGACAAAAAAATATATTTACATTTTATAATATTCCATATTTAAATATTTAACACAAATTATATTCTGTATTTAAATATTTATCACACATTTCTGCAAATGAAAGCGTTTATTCCATCCAATTCAACGTATGCACCCAAAATTTTTTAAAAAGATATTTAAATTGTACCATCTAAGCACTGACTTATAAAAGAGAATCCAACTGTAAATGAACATAAATACTTGAAAAGCACTTTCATTTATTCATATAACTTATATAAAATTGTAGCTCTGAGGTGTTTTTTTAAATATTTATAACATTGCACTCACAAGGCTATTTGAAATCGTAATGTTAACATTTAAAATGTTACTATTTTTTAATACTTGCACAATCTATCAGAATTCCAGTACTTAGTGTTCTAGAAGAAGCCTAATTCATCTGACAAGTTCTGTAAATGCAACATTTTAAATGTAGGGTCTAGGAATTCATTGCAATAACCAAGATTTCCCATTTAGATGTTTTTGAAGCCAGTGACATTTGATATTGTTTCTGTTAAAATACTTGCATTGTGTTTGTCTGACTGTTTAAATTTTCAGTGTTAACCTAACCAAGAAAAAGGTTTGTCTGTGTTGATGAGGGTATCTTCTGACAGATCTAACACGCAGATACCATTTCCATGAGTTGCAAGGATATTTTCAAGTTATTGTTTGCTTGAGCAGTCCCAGTACTTTTGTAATTGTGAATTTGCAGGGGTTTATGAAGACTATCTATGCAGATGCACTACTGATAAGAGGGTATGGATGTCATGTTAGTATTTGCTCTCTCCCATTTGAACCAGGTTTGGTGTTGAGGGTGTTTTCCTTAAAACAATCACACATTAGATTTTTCCATAAGCTCTGAAGTTTGATTTTAATACTGAGAGATAAAATCCACACCTGTTGCTTGTTCAGTTGGGTTTTTTTGTGCTTTTTTCCCATTAAGGCCCATTACAGCCATCTAAAGGCATTGTATACAGCATGTACTGGGAGACTCTGGTGGCCCTTATGTAAAACCTACTAGGAAGATGCAGAATGTAGGTACCTGAGGCTGAAGTCTCCAGGGGAAATGGTCAGTGGAGGACAGTGTGTAAAGAGAAGGGAACAGATTGTGGTTTAGAAGTCCAAAGGTAAGTTACAAAGCACTGGACTGGAAGTTACATTTTGTTCTTGGTTCTGGATCCTGCTGCTCACTTCTTGCGTGGCCTTCAACAAGTTGCTAAAGAAAGATTTTCATAAACAGTTTGAGATTTTGAGTGCTCAAGCTCAGTCTTTCCTTCAAAAGCATGAAACAACTGCAGGGACAAATGTTTATCAAGTCAGCATAATACAAGCTGGGCACTGAAAATCAAAGAAAAACTTGAAAGAAGTTGATCTTAATATCCCTCTGCAGATGATGGCCACTTATCTTCCCTACTGCTACTGATTGTTGTGAGGATTAGGTAACTCATGTCTGTGAACGCTTTGAGAGCCTGGCCTGGAGAGTGCTGACGAGGTGCAAGGTGTTAATTTACTGTACTGAAAGAGTGGAAGCATGGGAAATGGGAAATAAGGAGCAAACACCAGGGGTGGGAAAGAGGAAAATAAAACCTTATACAGTCAAATAAAAATATTTTGACTAAACAAAAGACCTGTTTTGCTTTGGGTTTTTTGTACTTCTCAGTCCTAATGATCTTTTGCAATACCTATGCATCTTACTATTTACCAAAACAATTTTTTAATAGTGTAATGTGATTAAAAGACAGCAGGTGGCTTTTACCCCAGGAAGATGCTCGCTGCTCTCTCCTGTTTGGCCTACACTGGAAGCTTAGCACTGCTGTGTGGATCAAGAATTTAGTGTGAAATTAAGGAAGACATCTGAAAATCAAGCTGATAGAACAGTTGTTGTATGCTGTGTTCCACCTAAGGGTGGCCTTTTAAATCACTGAAAAAGAAAACTGAGGACATCTGCAGAGAAATCTGGAGGCTGTAAAAGAAAGTTATTTCTGGTGGGACTTCTACACAGTGAAAAATGGATGAAAAAGGGACGCAGGCACAGCCTGATGTGATTCTGAGATTTGACAGAATACGTAGGATCTGGACTGGCTGACATCCTCATCACCTATTGATGGGAATTCATAACATGATGCTACACTAGAAATCACCACTCAGACTCTACTAGAGAACTCCCTCTGGATTAGGACTTGAATGACTAGTCTGTGGCTGCTTTTACTGTGTGATAGAACAACAGTCCTATCTCCAATGGAATAAAAATAGCTACCTAATAGATCTCAACATGAAGTCACCTATGGGGAACCACAGAGGATGGACTGTGTCTGTAGTGGGCTTCACGAACCACTCTTCAGATGACTTCTAGGTTTGTTTGGTTATTTTTTAAAAGACTAAATCCCTATTGATGGCTTGTAAACCTTAAAGCCTGGAGAATTGGTAGCACGGAGGAGGCCTCTTGCCCAGAACAATGGGGATGGCCGGGTAAGATATGCTCAGGCCAACTATTTGTGTTTCAAGGAGGCTAAATATAACATCATGTATCTAAAGGCAAATAATGGAGAATTCTCCATGTTATACAGCTTTTATTTTTACCTCATAAGAGGTCATATTCCAGGCCACTTGGCACTGTAGAACAGTGCTGTTGGTATTTGCAAAGAACTGAATTAGCAAATTGTAGGCTTTGGATCAATATAATCAATAGACATTTCCATACTTTTGGCATCAATACTCAGTTTGACCTCCAGAACATTATTGTGACCATAAATCAAAACACAGAGAAAGCTCAGAGGCTATTTGCCTCTCTTTAAGAAGTTACTTGCTGTATCTAATAGCATTTTTCATTTTCTGTATGGAAGTGGAAAACAGTTGCCTACACCACATGGCAACAGCTGCTCTTGGGCAGCCTGTGGTGGCAGCAAGAGCTGGTTCCAGGAGGGAGGGCCAAAGAGAAGCTTCACCAGCAGAAGCAGAAGGGGCTCTTGCTCAGAATCAACGTGCAAGTGCTTTATGGATGGCTCCATCAACCCCATTTGCTGACAAATTTTATGTAATGCCAGCAGGGCAACGACTGACATAGAAAAGACACCGGTTAAAACCTTTGTCAGGTTCACCAGCTGGTAAGGCGTGGAGCGTAACCAGCCACTGGGTTTCTTCTAAGTGAGCAGTTGCTTTTGGCTGGTAGCCAGGCAGCTACTCGTCTTCCAGAAAACGTTCCCTGCAGTGGCTGGCTGCTTGCCCTTGCACAGGAGGGTGGCAGGCTGGGTTCATCACACACCCAGACAGAGTTTCCACCCACCTAGTACATAATTAGGTCTGCTGGCAACTCATGAATACGAATATATAACCTGAATATGAGCCACCGTGTGCCTATGTGGCCAAAAAGGCCACCAGCATCCTGGCTTGGGTCAGCACTAGGATGGCCAACAGGAGCAGGGTGGGGAACGCCTGCGCTGAACTCAGTACTGTCGAGGCCGCCCCTTGAATCCTGGGGTTGGTTTTGGGCCCTTCACTCCTAGAAGGACCTGGAGGGGCTGGAGCATGGCCAGAGAAGGGCAACGAAGCTGCTTGGGAAGGGTCTAGCACCCAGGTCTAGTGAGGAGCATCTGAGGGACCTGGGGGTGCTGAGCCTGGAGCAAAGGAGGCTCAGGGGAGACCGGCCGCTCCGCAGCTCCCTGACAGGAGGCTGGAGCCAGGTGGGGGTCGGGCTCTTCTCACAAGGAACAAGCAACAGGACACGAGGAGCACGCTCGGGGCAGCGCTGGACTGCGTGGCGCCACCACCACGACGTGCCTGCCCGCACTCAACATGGCTGCCCGGCCTCACGTGAGGCGCCGCCGGCGCCGCTTCCGCCCTCTCGCGGTCACG